CATCTGCTATAAAATAAAGACACGGCTTGTGGGCGTCATCATTGTCTCCTCATCAGGGAGGCAGCGTCCCGTCCCGTCCCACCCACCGAGACCCAGCTATTATTCTCTTGTCTGTCTTTCCTTAATCCTTTCAGCTCCCCTACTCGGGATCACCCTTGGTCGGGCTGGCGTGGCACAGTTAGGGATAGAACAGAAAGGGGAGGAGAGAAAATAATGATACAGTAAGCAGAGGTCTAGGTGGATTCTGTGGGCCAGGTAAGTGGTTCTGTACCACAACATCTGGTTTACAGATGAGGAGACTGAGGGTCAGAGAGAGAACATGCTGAAAACCAGACACCCTTAAGTATATATATATAATTGATTTCAGAGAGGAGAGAGAGAGAGAAACATCAATGATAAGACAGAATCATTGATTGGCTGCCTCCTGCACGCCCCTTACTAGGGATCAAGCCCACAACCCTGGCATTTGCCCTTGACCAGAATCAAACTGGGACCCTTCAGTCTGCAGGCCTATCCACAGAGCCAGACACCTTTTATATTTATGTGCTGGAGCCCTAGCCTGTTTGGCTCAGTGGATAGAGCATCGGCCTGTGGACCAAAGGGTCCCAGGTTCAATCCCGGTCAAGGGCACGTACCTTGGTTGCAGGCTCCTTGGGCCCTGGTCCTGGTTGGAGGCAACCAATCGATGTGTTTCTCTCACATCAATGTTTTTGTCTTTCCCTCTCTCTTCCACTCTCCCTAAAAATCAATGGAAAAATATCCTCGGGTGAGGATTAACAAAAAATAAAATAAATATATTTATGTGCTGGAGCTAGGTTTGAACCCACCCTCTGCTGTCTTTACATAATGCCGCTTCACGAGGAAGGTAGGGGATATCTGGGGGGAGGCCTAGAAAAGGCAGATTCCTGAGTGGAACCATATGGGCAGGTTAGGTTCCAGCCCCACCCAGGTGATCCAACTGAAGTCCTGGAGACCAGACCGAGTTCTATGGGTTCTGCTACTTCCTCTCATCCCAGGCTCTGACCGGGCGAAGAAGGCAGCATCGCCCTGGGAAGGATGGATAAGGACGGTAAGTGGGGCTGGAGGCAGGGTGGAGCCAGAGGACAGGGTATGTTGACTACAGGGTGGACCAACCAGCTCATCACCATGGTAACCCCAGAGTAGAAGTCCAGCCTTTTTAAGATTATACCCATCCAGGTACAAACGCTCTCCTTTCTCTTTCCTGAATATGCTTGATATCTGCTCCCTCTTCTTTACCTCCTGCGGTTCAGACTTTTGTCTTCTCTGGCCTGGACCACAGTGGGTCTCCCTCTGTCAGTTCTGCGCGAGTCCCTGCATCAGAACAGTCAGTGGCTCCCACTGCTGCAGGGCTGTGGGCTTTGGTGTTTAGTGAGCGCGGGGGGATGGGGATGGAAGGGACACAGTGATACAGTCCAAACACCTGAGTTTAGCTCTGGACCCTTTGCTAAATGCCTCTGTGAACTTCATAGGCGACCAACGTCCAAACTCCATGGCCCGGCACCCAAAGTCCCAGCCTTTCTTTCCAGTGCCCCCTCCTCCTGCAAAGTCCCCAGCAGCCCGCTCTGGCTGCGCAGTGGGTCTGGCCTTTCACAACCGCAAAGCTCCAAGAACGGGCAGAATCTCTGCAGCAACTTTTCTTGGAAGGTTTCCAAAAACCTTAGATGAAATTCGCAGGCCCCTCCGTGACCTACCTCATCCCTCACCCAGCTGAGGGGGTGGTGAAGATGAAGGGACACGATGTGTGAAAAGAGTCAGGGGGGTGGTTGCATGTAATTGGTGCTTGATACATGTGAGCTAGAATGCTAATGTGATTAGGACCCCCCTTCGTCTCCAACCTCTTTGGGTTAGGCAGGCATCGATGGCAAGTCGTCTTCACCTCTCCAGGGCAAACCCCAGAAGTTGTGCCTCCTCTGTCACCCTCCCCCCCCTTTTTTTAAAAAAATATAATTTATTGATTTTTTACAGAGAGGAAGGGAGAGATAGAGAGTTAGAAACATCGATCAGCTGCCTCCTGCACATCTCCTACTGGGGATGTGCCCACAACCCAGGTACATGCCCTTGACCGGAATCGAACCCGGGACACTTCAGTCCGCAGGCCGACGCTCTATCCACTGAGCCAAACCGGTTTCGGCCACCCTCCCCCTTTTCATGACAAGGTTGGCTCCCCAGGTCCGGCTGCCCGCAGGGCACACCAGGGCGCTGGGCTAGTGTTTGCTGCTGAGGGTGGACACCCCCGTCAGGCAGGTTCCTTTCCATGTCAGCCCAGGAACTTCCTGCCCGCCAGGGCCACTGCTTAGAGCCGAACAAAGACATCAGCAAGAGGGGTCAGTGGCGGCTGAATCTGGCTGGCAATTGGGGTCATGCCTGGAAGGAGGAAGAGACACTTTTTCCTAACGGGTCTGCCCATTGGCGGCCCCTTTTTCTAATCATACGAGGTGCTGTGTGCCCACTGCCCACCCACCCTCCACAGGTGATGCTGGGATCCCTAAGGCCAGGCCCGCTTGGAGGAAGGAAGTCCCATCTAGAAAACAAAACGTAAACAGCCACGCGTTAGGATTCCAGCCAGTGCACCATGTTTATTGACCGCCACGGACAGCACCCACCCTAGAGCCAGTTAGAGAGAAGGCGATGAGCCCTCATTGGTGCCAGGTTCGGAACTCTCCTGGCGGCCTCCAGTTCATTGCTTCCCGCTGGCCAAGCCCGCGTGGGCGCCTGGCACTCGGCGATCTCACACCTGCCTCACATCAACCCCCGAAAGAGGCACTCCTCCCCCATTTCACAGGCGAGCAAACGGCCTTGTCTCAATCCTCAGTCCCAGGAAGCACAGGGACCGTCTCAATCCTCAGTCCCAGGAAGCACAGGGACCATCTCAATCCTCAGTCCCAGGGAGCACAGAGACCGTCTCAATCCTCAGTCCCAGGAAGCACAGAGACCGTCTCAATCCTCAGTCCCAGGGAGCGCAGACACCGGGGCGATCAGGTGGGGTGGGGGGTGCAGCCGGGCAGACCCCGGCCTGGCCCGGGAATCCTGGTCGCGCTAACTTTCTCTTGGAGTCCTGCTGGCTCCTGCGTACGCACCATCCTTGAGGTGCCTTTTTGGGGGGTGGGGGGTGAGGGTGGGGAAGAGTGGAGTTGTGGGCACAGAAGAGTCAGGGTACGACCTTCTCTCCGCCCGCCCCCAGGCGTGAAGACCCCCTTGTGGAAGAAGGAGCCGGAGGAGCCGGGGGTCCGGGAGGAGGCGGCGGAGGAGGAGG